AGAGCAAAATACAAACAAAAAGCTCGTTTCCCCTCCTCGTGTTTGAAATAATTACCAAATACAACATCGAACTTTTAAACCTCTATTACAAAAAGTTTCTACTAATTTATTATGCGTGATCTTTGTAATCCTTGTCAAGGACAAAATGATCAACTACCCTGCACCGGGCCCTAGATTTCTGGAGATAGTAGACAAGATAGGTGTAGCATTTGACAAACCAGGGTGGGCATCATGACCATCAGCGCGAGCAACTGCTCCAGCAACTACACAACCCAGGTTATAGCCCCATCCTTCGTATGTACACATAACAACCTCTTTATTTACCAGCACAAACCATGACATCCCACCACAGGAAAAGTCCTTCCCCGTCTGACATGTTCTCATGAGTGATGAGATTGTTAGCTGCATTAGCTTTCCATCGGGGAACGTCGATCCATCAATGATACGTAAAGCGGGATGCGGCTCACTGTAGTGTCTTGCCAACCTCAGCACGACATGACCTGCTTCACTGCTGTCCTTTGACTCCGGAATCTTGCAGAAGTCCTCATCGATGTACGCATCGCCAACAAGTTTCTCGTCGAAGATGTCGAAACTTTCCGTGTCCACTTGTCCATCAAATGTCTCCTCTCCCTCACCCTGCCTTCTGCCATCAAATGTGCGAAAATGTTGCGACATGATAACAGGGTTTTCTCTGTTGTCACCATCATAAACAAATGACCTCTCAAATTTTCTCTCCATGGCTTTGCTGGGGGTAGGATTCTCTTCCTGGCCAGCGGAATGAGACGAGTTCTGGAGCGTCCACTGCAGGATTAAATCCTCTGCTTTCACATCGTGCTTTCTTACTTTCTCTGAACCGCTATCCCCTCTGAACATAGCCACAGCAAGTTTGGTTTGTTGATGATTACGATCACTACTGTCCTCCTCCTCCTCTACACAGCTCTTCTTACACTCTGCGGCGACGATATCCCAACCCTGTTGTCGCTTGCGCTGCCTATCAACCTCTGTAGGAGCTGCACATATGGCTTGTGCTGCGCACTCGATTACACAATCTTGAGCTAAGGTTGACATTGCATTGGACACAGGAGGAGGAGCTAAGGAGTATGTCACTGTTTCCCCTCCTGCAAGCACATCTGTGATCACAGGATGAAGGATGTAGTGAATGACATTTCTATCGCATTCACTTCTCCTGGTCAAATCCATAATTTGATCCAGAAGGAAGTACTCAATTCCATCAGCAACAATGACAGGCAACTCTGCAAGACAAGCGGGTTGCACACAATTTTTTAAAGGCAACTGCGACAAGGATAACACCTCGGCCGCGCCCGGTTTCAACAGGGCGGCATTGAAGGGTAGCCTCAATTGTGCGGCACGTATCTTAGATTGCAGTTTTTTCCTAAACGCGGGTTTTGTGTACATGTCACCCTTTTGGTGTTTATTCATATCGACATCCTCCTATTTTGTGATCCAATCCAAAAATGGTTTCTCCGTGTAAGATTGTATGTCAATCGGTCTGTTGGGGTGGGAAACCGTTGTCCTTTCTAGGAGGGGTGAGTGATGCAGTCTGTCCAGAAAGATGCTTGCATCCTGCATGTTGTCGAGGTTGCGAGCAACGGTTGCATCGACATCGATATGCACATGAAAATAACGAGGAACCCTCCGTCTCAAGTGCTGCAATTCGGCGTCGGAGTTATAATGCACAGAGGGCGTGGCAAACTGCATCACCGTCTCTACCGCAATGATGTCATGTGAGGCC